GATTCGTTGAAGAATAGAACTTCCGATGACCAGGGTAGTTTTTTGGGTTCGTTCTCTTGTAGAAATAAATGGAGAATTCGAAATCCTGGGAAAGTTTCCTCCTTCTTTAGGAGTTGATGAAGGCTGGCTCTCTCTGGAGGGATGTAAATTAGGACTGTCCTTTGTCGCCATCATTTTGTTTTTCTGTGTGGGTTGCGTGTTTTTCCATACAGAACTGGAATCCATGGTATCTGTTGATGTACTGGTAGTTTTTTTGTCAACACTAAATGAGCATTGGCTGTGTCGCGATATACCAGTTTTAACAGATATTCCTTCGGTCGATGTTGCCTTCTGTTTCATCTGTGTTCTCGGAGTCTGAGTGAAGGCGTTGGCACAGGCTTTTGTTTGTCGTGCATCCAAAAGCTGTTTCTTTAGAAGATTTACTTCCTGTGTCAGCAATTTAACAGTTTCAGAAAGAAGTTGTACATTTTCTGAGCTGCTACACTGGTGGCAATCTATCTCCACACTTGATTCATTTTGTTTTGAAGGTCTTGGAGTTGATGTGCAGCTTGGTTGATTGACAATAATCTTGCAATCTGTCAGAGAGTCATTTTGGCTTATGTCAATTTGACTTTTAACTTCTTCCAGAAAGTCATTTTGGTACCATTCAAATGCACCAGTCCCTTGAACGAGAACCGTATTTGTGCTTCTGTAAATAGTTACTGTTACTGAGTCGCACACTGATTTATAGATGCAACCATTTTTCTTATTATTTCCATGGAAAAGAAGCATCTTCTGAAGCACAGATAATACAAACTCGTGCTGCTGGCCATCATAATTTATGGTTACACTCTCTGCATTTAGTTTAACATGTAGAAAGTCTGGAATACTCACTGAAGGTGCAAAATCCTTTTCCTTATTTGTACCAATAAATGATTGTGACAGTCCATTAAATGAGTTCAAAATTGATGTAAAAAGATTTGAATTTTCACTTAGATCCATCATTTCTTTATCATTTTAACTATTCACCTGACTAAAGATAAGAGCACTAAAAAACACGTCTTATCTCTTCGGCGTCTTATCTGAGATTTTTCACTATATAATCAATAGAGCCCTAACACTAACACGACCTAACACCAAAACCCGTGGACCATAAAATTCACAATTTTAAAAGAGGCATTTTTGCTTATCATTACTATACAGCAGAGAAGATTTTCAAAAATTTAATGTATTTTCACTTTATACTTGCTCCACCCTCACACCAGAACCCTCGACACTGGGGCCATGAAATTCACAAATTTTGGAAAAGACATTCTTGCTCATAATATTTATGTACTTGGTTACTTTGTTTAATACACAGGAGCAGAGAAGAAGATTTTATAGAGTTTTTATGTACATTGACAATAAAATCAATAGAACTCCAATCTAACACAAAGAACCCTGACCCTGGGGCCATAAAATTTTTTTAAGAGACACCCTTATTCAACATAACTGTGTACTTGGCTAGTTTATTTAATACCCAGGATCAGAGAAGAAGATTTTCAAACAAATGCTGCATTTTCACTATACAATCTACATAGCTCTGCCCTAGCACAGAAACTGCTGACCCTGGGGCCATGAATTTCACAATTTTGGTAGAGAACTCAATTCTGATTACAATCATGCTAACAGTTTGATTGCTTGATGTCCAGCAGTAAAGAAAAAGATTTTTTAAAATTGCATTAATTTTAGTGGTTTTTGCCCGACCCTTCAAGCCCCAGGCTTTTTTGTTCCCCTTCACCCAGAGATGCTTTATTCTAAAATTGGTTGAGTTGTTGCAGAGAAGAAGAAAGAAATGTTCATATATTAACACTAGATGGGCGACACAAGACAACGGATGAAAACAGATCACCTGGTAGTGGTGTTTTATATACACATTGATGGACAAGGCACTTTACAATTTACAATCCAAGAGACTCTTCTGATCTTTGACCAGTAAAGCTTAAAAGCATAGATGACACACACACAAAACTTTTTAAACAGGGTAATTTAAAACATTACAAGAAATATTATTTAACAATCGTTTCAAACAGAATGTTGTTAAAAACATAACTAAAACCTCACCCGTGACGAACACAGATCTTTTTTTAAGATAGTAATCAACATGATTCTTTAAAAATACATAATAATTCAAAATACACAGATGCTAGAATAAACCTCAAAACATGGTTTTTGAAGCAGAATTAATAATTGCTACTTCACGTGATATTCTTTTTCCTCTATTTTTTGTGTTTGTTTTTCTGTTTAAGATTGAATTAATAACAATAAGAGACAAGTACCTACTTAACCATATTTCAAAAGAAGTGTTACATGTGCATATCCATAAACTGTTATTTACATAAATTTATGCACTGTAAAAGTGTCGATTCAAAATTGCCATCTCTTTGAATAGAAATTAAGTGTAGACACTGAATCCCTACATTTGATGAAATTGCCCTACATGAATGTCACATATCCATTTCCATATCATGCAGCATTGTAACACTAATGCACTGTCATCTTACAATGCATCTAATTAATTGATTCACTTGTATAATACATGTATAATCATTGTAAAAATCCATAAACATCTTAAATCTTTAGTTACAACATTCACATCTGCATATTAATCTTAACAATCAAAATCAAACATAAAAATAACTGATTCACTCACAACTAATACTTTGTAATTATAAAATATCATACATGTACACTCACTGCACAATTTAAGTATTGTGCCTACTTATGTATAATACATGGCAACTCAAATAAATTGATATATATCGCATCTCCCATGGTTTGCCAAGGCTCGGGGATAGAAAACGCACAACCCGTTGGATAAAAATCATATCAAACCACAAACCAATTGGGAGATTCTTTTTATCACATATTTTTGTTTACTATAAATGTGTATTTTGTCCCTATTTCTAATTCAAAGTTCCCTTTTGGTTACCTTGGACCAAATAACGTACTAAATAATACTACGCTGTATGAAATAGTTCGTACAAAAATAACAGAAAGAAAGTATTTCAGCACTTATTTTTATCAATTCATGAATGAAAATATGCTAAACATATCAAATTACGTGAAATTCGACAAATTAAGTCATTCTCTCCATCATGCACATGTATTTGTTTATTTACATTATGGCGTAGGAATACATAGTGTTGATACGAAAACGATATCACATGAGCTATATCAACGGGATAAAGATAAAAATATGTGATAAATTTATTTCTTTTATTTAATTTATTTAAATCCATACACATTCACACTCATCAGTTACATAAAACCCCACATCTTGTTTTAATATGTGTAACATCACTTATTTGATCATGATCTTATACACATATCAATGCTACACATTCATTATACCTTACTGTCTTACAGAATAAGTATATAAACTGGTTTTTTCGTTATTTAAATCCAAGAACCATAAATTCATGGACAAATCAATAGTGTAATACTTTGCGTGATATTATTTTTTCAATTGCAACTCAAATCCAAGTAAAGATTTCTGTATATAATTCTGAAGTAAATTTAAACACTTGGAAAATAATGAAATCAAACAACAGCTTCAAAACTTCTTAAAACTTCAAGATTTTTATTTGGTTGAACTGAACCTAGTTTACTTTTTTTTTTTTTAAATTTGGATTACTTACTTTAATCTTAAAGAGAAAAATAACTAGAAATATATTTTTGATGCACTTTGGAGTTATAGATAGGTGTTACAGTAAAACTCGGTTATAGCAAAGTCCTGGGGACCTGTGAATTTAATTCGCTATATCCATAGTTCGAATTATGAATTCGTATACTAAAAATACATATAGCGAATTCTCAATATGCTTGTTTCCTTCAAGTATTACTACCAAAAATGTAAGGGAAACAAATATAAAACGTATCTTCGATATCTAAGGTTAAAATATGAAATGAATTTTATATACAGATGCTAAAAAAAAAAATATAGTCAGTTTAATTTACCAAATGTTGAGATCTTTGAAAGTTTGTAATAAAAGATGTAAATTTTATTTTATACATTAATATAACCTCAAAGGGACTCAAAATCAGTTTGCTATATCTGTAAATTCATTATATCCGAGTTCGTTATAACCGTAAAATTTTACAAAGATTTGATTAAAATATATACGAGGGGTTATCAAAAAGTTCGTGGACTGAGGCTATAAAATTAGTACTATGTAGTCTGTGCTTTCAAAATTTATATGGAACATAAAACAACACAAAATAAAGAAATGTTGAAAAATTTAGCCTGATACGTTCATTATTTGCCAAATTATTATAAAATGAAAACGACATTATATGATCACCCAGCGCTGTCGTCGTTTATTTTCATAACGTCCGATAACTTCATTGTTTTTTCAATGTCCGCTTCTTCTACCTCATACACTTTTTTGATGAGATTCCTTGGGGCTGAGTAAGGACTTAAACCCAACTTGTTTATATGACTTTACAATGTCATGAACAGTGGTCTTCAATAAATATAATATTCCGAATTGATTAATACATATGGAGAGATCCGCGCTTGATTATGCCGCCGGCATATTTTGCTTTTGGGAGTTCAATATATACAACACATGATCAACGTCTTTTTTGACATGATTGATTTTTCACACCTTGACTGCAAATCCACTTTAACTGTGTATCCCTTTTCTCTCTGAATCTATTTTGACATTAGAAGACAAGTACTCTGGATGCATATTATTTCTCTGTAGCCAATTTTAACATATTTTAGGTCTATACCAGTTTTTTCAGGGGCAAAACTTTATAGAATGTTGGAAACGGAAACCCCTCCCCCCTTTTGACGTCATTTTCAAGGCCTTCATTTGTTTGGACATGCCGTGTACAATTTACGATAAAATTTCATAGAACTTCCAGAATAAAGTGAAAATTTCATATTTTATGGAACAATTGTTTTCCGACATATACCTGACTTAACGGGAATTTTGGATGCCAAATGATCATATCAAAAGAGCTTTTTTTCAGTTACACATAGGTCGCAAAAACGTCGTGTTCAAGGTTACGCCGCCTGGACATACCATTGCTTACAAAAATATTACTAATTTATTAAAAAATTAAATTTATGATTTATGGTTTATTCTTTAGATAGAAAAGATTATGCTAACTAGATATTTTAAAATTCATTGATGTGCATAAAGCGTTTTTAATTTTATGACGCTAGTCCACGAACTTTTTGATAACCCCTCGTATCAGTGTTCGTACTAATTTTTATACCGTATGCATTTTTTGTTTAGCAATCATATACTGTAGATGTACTTTTTTTCTGCATGGGATTAATTTCCGCTATGTACACAAACACAATATGTACTTAAGATTCACTAAGGACATATGACAACAATCCAATATATCCACGTAATTTCATACTCACAGATGGAATAGAAATTTTGTTTCCAAGGCATTATGACCCCATGGAATTAAATACTTTAACAGTAACAATATTTGTTAAACAATAACAAATCGGAATAACTAGAGCTGTTCTTGGATGTTTCCCCACAGCTGAAGATGAGTTCAATCCAGTGTTAGTGTTTCTACTTCCTGTGTCATTTGTGAAGACAACTCCTGGGAGAACAGGTCGTTAGACAGCTGAAATAAAGAATGACTTTCAAGAAGAGACTTGACTTTTTTCATCGAGATCCCATATTCAAGCAGCAGCTCTGGACGACCATCCAAGGGTTTAGCTTTACAATGATTATTATAATATAATTTGGGATGACCAGTTTGAAGCATTCCAAAGACGCGGGCAATATCTGTAACAACCACAAGTGGGGCACCTGAAGCACCATGAGCAATACTATTGGAGCAGTGAAACAAAATGTGATCACGTGAGAGCTTACATGTAGCATATTCTTCCTTGACTTCTTCACTATCAAACCCTTTTTCTGTGAAAAAGCTTATCCCTTCTTTCACTACCTCTGCTAATTCTGCTTTATCTTCAATCATTCTACATTCACGGTCATGTTGCAGTATCTTGTTATCTGGATGACCAAACACATGAAGCTTTGCTTCGGGTATGCAGTATTCCGTCAGACTAAGGGGTGCAGACAAAGTCTGATTGTCATCAAGTTCTAGGATCAGAACATCATCTTTCTTAGATGCAAATGCCACAGGGTCATCTGAGAATTTGAGAAAAGTTCCTCCTGTAATTTTTGTAAATTCCATTTTTATATGACAGGACTTTGTTATCATATGTTTCCCTGCTTCTAGAAGATGCTCTGAAAAAAAAATGAACGAGAAAAAATAAAAACAAGAGGTCCAAGAACATAGAATCACTGTTCCGGTAAATTGTACATGACTATTACTTCTAGTCATGTAATAAGCCTCTTATTATCAAATTTCAATATTAAGATAAACAAAATTAATGAATCATCACACACGATTCTATATGTTACACAAGCAATCTCGATTGCCGAGGCAAACATACAATTTTACTTACAAAATTGTTTTTTTTTTAAATTATGAATGTACTTTTTTGAAATGGAATTTTTTTTTTTACATATTTTATACCTTATGACATAACAAGAAATATGTCCATAGGATATGATTGCCTCGCCAAGGATATATCAGTAATGCAACAAGAAAATTAGAATCTGTGCATGAAATTTCAGAATATCTTGAAAAGTGATGCAGTTGATTTGCTTATGTCAGTATGTATCAGCATATGAATTTTAACACTAATTTAAGAAAGTGAGGTAAAGGTCAAAGGTAAGGTCAGCATAAAAAAAATGTTGATGCAGTTGAAAAGCTCTCATCAGTATGTACCAGCATATAAAGTTGAAAAAATATGAATGGTTTCTTGAAAACTGACTTAATCACAATTTGATAAAAGTGAGGTCAAGGTCAAATGAAAGGTCAAAAATGTTGATGCAGATGAATTGATTACATCAGAATGAATCAGCATATGAAGTTTGACACTCATTTTTGAAAAGTGAAGTCAAGGTCAAAGGAAAGGTCAAGGTCAAATTTTGTTGTTGCAGTTGAATAGCTCTCATCAGTATGTGTCAACATATGAAGTTTGAAAAAAAATGTCTTGAATGGTATCTTTAAAACCGAGCTTAACATTCATATAAGAATAGTGAGGTCAAGATCAAAGGAAAGGTTAAGGTCAAATGTTGATGCAGTTGAATAGCTCTCATCAGTATATATCAGCCTATGAAGTTTGATTACACTATCTTGAATGATATATTTAAAACTGAGCTAAACACCCATTGAAGAAAAGTGAGGTCAAGGTCAAAGGAAAGTTTAAAAAATGTTGATGTAGTTGCATAGCTTTCATGAATATCTATCACCTTATGAAGTTTAATGAAAATATCTTAGTTGCTTTGAAAATGAGCTTTGAACTGAGCTAAACGCAAAGTGTGACGGAAGGACAGCTAGAAGAAAGGACGAAAGAGGGACATGACATTCACTATATGCCCCGGCCATATTCATGGTGGGGCATAAAAATGGAAGATAATGTTTAATGATGTTTAAAAACACCATAAAACTAGTCACAACTGAGGAGAACATGTCTGTCAATCATATTTTAAAAAGAAATTGAAAAGAAATTGAGAAATTTTAGAGAAATTAATTTTTTTTATATTTGGTCCTTACCCTATTTACAGACAGACTGGACGGACAAAATGTGATCAGAAAAGCTCACTTGAGCCTTCTACTCAGGTGAGCTAAAAATATCTTGAGACCCCTATCCAGTTATTTACAGGTGAATTCATATTCTTAGCATTGTATTATTTTTTGTTGCTACTTTGTTCTCAATCATTTTGAAACATTAACATTTCTTAGTTTGCATGTAAAATTTTCAAAAAAGACAATGAAAATTAACTTTTACTGTATCAAGATACATACATGAGGATACACGCATCGAGAGTCTTTGTGATCAATGTAACGCCGTATTGTTACACCTCTTCAATTCACAATTGTGGCAAAATTGCCCTTTCTCATCTTAGCTAATATATAGCTTGTTCATCTGCTTAAAGGTCATACGAAACAGTTCATAACACTAGGATTTTACTATATAAATATAAAGACTGATATGAAAGAATGTTAAATTAAGTTTGGTAAAAAAAAAAATTGCTTTTGCTTAACAGAAAAATGAAGGCCTAAATTTGTCCACTTGATAAATTCGTTACCCGCTTATTGTTCTTGATTTTGTGTTTGTATGACATCACAAAGACCCATTGATGTAAACAATGCATTAGATCTAGTGTAATTTTACTGTAATTAATTAATTTTAGTTTTTAATTTTAGTCTTTTTAGTGGATATAAATGTTATTATGTTTTTAGATGAGCTATCTGATTCTAAAAAACAGTTTATTTCATTCGACTTATAGTTAATTGGTCACAGCAACTGAAAATGAGAGCTTTTCATAGTACAATGATACTGATGAAAACCCGTTAAAATCAAGGTTCACCCCAACCAAGGTTACTTATTTTAAATTAAGACCGTAGAACAACCTTTTTGTTTGTTTTTTATATGTACATGTACGTTAATGATACATGATTTAACTCCCCCCTTTTCCCTATATAAACACGGGGGTATTGAAGTTTATGATCGATAAACGTGAATCTGTAAAAAGTGGGATTATTTGAATGCACACTTCTGCAATCTAAAACACGAGAACTAATAAAAATAATAAAGAGAAATACGAGGTTTATGACGACATCATCGTAATTTTCCTGTCACAAGTAACGAGACTTTAAAAACTTACTAGCATTACGAGTATGCACGTTAATATACATGTACTGTAATGTTACGGTGCTGACACTTCTATAACAGTTTGAGTTACTGCAGTTGCATAAGATGATCAGCTAAAAAGAAACCCATGCCCCCAATGACCATTGATTGCGAGACTGAACCTAAACAATTTTAAAAATTTATATTTTTTCGGTTAAAAATTTTTAAAAGCAGAATATAATCTTTGTTTAAATAAACTGATACACGTAGAAAATGTTATTTGTAAATATACACAGAAACGTAGGATTACATAGACAGAATTGAGTTTAAAGTCTGACTTTTTAAAATTATAACGATATCTAAAAAGTACCGACTTTAGTAAAAAACAAGATGTGTTTGTGAAACACTATGCGCCCGGCGTCAACAAAGTTCAAAAAAACTATTTTTAGTATATAGGTCACAGTCAAGGTCACAAGATCATTGACCTTGGTGTTGTTTGTAAGAACTTTATTAGTGGGGTATGCATACTAAATATGAAGTCCCTATTTCCCATGGTTCGTAAGTTGTGGCAAAAAGTGGAAAAAGCTATTTTTAGTATAAAGGTCACAGTCAAGGTCACATGGTCATGTGACCTTGATGTCATTTGAAAGAACTTTATTAGTGGAGTATGCATACTAAATATGAAGTCCCTATCTCTTATGGTTCAAAAGTTATGGCAAAAAGTGGAAAAACCTATTTTTAGCATATAGGTCACAGTCAAGGTCACAAGGTCATTGACCTTGATGTCATTTGAAAGAACTTTATTAGAGGAGTATGCATACCAAATATGAAGTCTCTATCTCTTATGGTTCAAAAGTTATAACAAACAGTTGAAAAACCTATTTTTAGCATATAGGTCACAGTCAAGGTCACAAGGTCATTGACCTTGATGTCATTTGAAAGAACTTTATTAGAGGAGTATGCATACCAAATATGAAGTCTCTATCTCTTATGGTTCAAAAGTTATGACAAACAGTTGAAATACCTATTTTTAGCATATAGGTCACAGTCAAGGTCACAAGGTCATTGACCTTGATGTCATTTGAAAGAACTTTATTAGAGGAGTATGCATACCAAATAAGAAGTCTCGATCTCTTACGGTTCAAAAGTTTTGGCGAAGGTTAAAGTTGACAACAGACAAACAGACAAGACAAAAACAATATGCGCCCCGAAAAAATTCGGGCGCATAAAAATACGGGATGAGAAACAGTCAGTGAAAAAGGGAACGCCAAAGAAAGAGTGAGGAATAATTGAGAGAGGACCAGGACGTGATAGAATCATTTCATTTTTCATAAATAAATGAAATAATTTATCCCCAGATTTAGTTTCTGCACTTTCACACACTACTGTCAATCGAATCCAGCTTTACTTATATGCGCGTGCTACCGATCGAGTACATAATATACATGTACATGTAATCAATAGTGCTCATAATCTGATTGTGATCAATAAATATTAATTGGAAAATTTACAAATCATATTTTTGTGTTAGAAATTTATTCAAATGTAAATGCTATTTCAGTATTTGACAATATATTTATATTTAACTCAAGTACAGTTGAAGTTCATCTTCGCAGTCAAATAACTTTGATCGACTCTGCTGCCTCCAACTTGCGTAAATAATCCAAAATGTTATTTCAGGCTCATTAATGTTGCATAGATGAACTCATTTCCGTATACAACCCAAAATGCTCAGGACATTATTTCGTATGACCTTTAATACCCAGGAGCAGAGATGAAGATTTTCAAAGATTTAATATATTTTCACTATATAGTCAATAGATCCCTGCCCTCAAACCAAAACCCCTTTACTCTCTCTTAGTTGTGTATTCTGAAATAATGTCATGGAATATATGCACATATTTACCATAAATGATGAAATGGAGAAATTCAGATTGGAGAAAAAGGATCCTTTTTAATGGATATTTGAATTATGAAGTAGAGGTACATGTGCATGAATTAGAGAGATATATTCCTGAACAATAGGACTACAATGCTTTTCTTTTTTTCATTTGTTAAGAATTTTTAAAGAAATATTATGGAAGAAAAGGTATCTGCTAATTTTCTCTAGACAGTCAAGCTACTTCTGAAACAATATTTACATCAGATAGGAGACCAGTTTTAACTAGCCTCGGGCTCAGGTTAGTGAGTTTTCATGAAGATTGCACAAAGTTGTAAGCTCATCAACTTTCTTTGAATTATTTTATTAATGCCCCACTTTAAAAAGATTTTTCTTTCTCTACAGCTTATTAAAAAGAATTCTTAAATTATATTTTCTTTACATGTACCTCGTTTGCTAGGGTCTAATGATGAAAAGAGTTTGGAAAGATTCCAACTGCCAGCCACTGGCAAGATGTCTTTTGTCCACTTTATTTCTTTTCGTTCTTTCACAGACAGAACATTGTGGACATGCTTCCAAAATGGTCCTGGAAAAAAAGATCACATAGATTACTGTTATGTTTTTTTTTTATTTATTTTTTAGATAATATATACATTAATAACAATATGAACTTGAACTGTCCAAAAGGGACAAATGCCTTCCGCTGGGCTTTTCAGAGAAGGTGCCAATTCACAAATACTTTATGGATCTAGGAGGTGTTCACAATTTTCTTACAAAAATTTGCAGTCTGTGAAATATAATTGCTCATTATATAATCATTTGATTCTCTATCAAAATAGAATCTGAAAATGTTCAATTGTTAATGCAATGTGCACACAGATGAAGCACAAGGCAGGACAAAAACAGATAGCAAAAGGTCGCCTGAGTATCCTCAGGTGACCTAAAAACTGTCCTACAACCATCCTAAACCTTAAATTGACTTCTCCTTAAACATAGTTTAAACTATTCCTAGGAATCTTTGGATAGCATACCTTCAGATGAGCTTAAAAGACTTACTGAAAATATCTTCCAAGACATGATATGCTGTGATGACATATTTGCTGCCAACTCTAAATCCTGTTCCGCAACTATTATTTCCTCTGAACTGTATGCAGCCTATCTGTTTGCCCAATTGCATTTTATGAAAAATTTCACTATCAATGTATGAGACACAGTTGTCATCTGTCTTTCGCAATTTTTCACCATGCTTTTTATTTCCTGTTAAAAAACATTAAACATTAAAACAAGAGATGTTTGTAAAAACACTAATGCCCCCCTCCCCCACAAATTGGAATTTTGCTACGTCCAAAAGGGCAAAACTCTGTCAGAAATGGTGTGATCATACCCAAAACATAACTTGACCTAGATATTCATCTGACTAATTTGTATACTAAATTTCATTTCAAAATGTGCAACCTCTCAAAAGAAAATGAACAGAAACTGCAAATAATTGGACTTTTTCTAAGTCCAAGGGGCATAACTCTGTCAATGATAATGCGACCGTACCCAAAACAGAGCTTTACCTAGATATTCATCTGACTAATCTGTATACTAAATTCCATTTCAATATGTGCAACCTCTCCAAAGAAAATGAATGGAAACTGCAAAAATGGGGAATTTTTCTAAGTCCAAGGGACATAACTCTGTCAAAAATGGTGCGATCGTACCCAAAACAAAACTTAATCTAGATATTTATCTAAATATACCTGTATACCAAATTTCATTTCAGTATGTGCAATGGTTATGAAGAAAATAAACGGAAACTAAATGGACCAACAGACTGACCGACAGAGAGCAGCAAAGAAATATGCCCTCCCTTCTTCAAAGGGGGCATAAAAATGTTTTATGGTACTAGTAGTAAACTAAATACTATTGCCCTACTGAAAATTATAGTACTTAAGGAGAAATGCCACACCAACTTTTTTATTTTAGAGATCTCTGAGTTATCATTCTTAAACTGTTACAATGGTTTCAGTTTTGAAAGACCAAATTATTAGCTCTGAAGGAACAAAGGGATTTTCAACAAGAGGCCCAAGGGCCTTGAATCGCTCTTCTGATAAACATGATAAATCATACAATCTATCACTTTTATTTGAGGCCTACAATTCTAAGTATCCCAAGATGCATGAACTGTCAAAGTTTGATGCGTAGCCAGTTAGGATGGAAGATATTTCAGTATAGCTATAAAATACCATCAGTAGGTCACAGTGACCTTCTTTTTGATTTGAAATTTTCTGAGGACTCAAGATGCATTAATTGACAAAGACTGATGATTCTAAGCCAAAAAGTACCTGAGATATTCAAAAAATAGGTCACTGTGACCAACTCTATGGACTACATTCTCCAAAAACCCAAGATGCATCAATTAACAAAGTTTGATGATTCTAAGCCAATAATTACCTAATAATAATTAAATATAGTCATAAAATGTCAAAAGTAGGTCACTGTGACCTATTTTTGGTTGACAATTTCCGAAGACCTGAGATACATCAACTGACAAAGTTTGATGATTCTTAGCAAATAATTGAGATAGAGGTAAATTTTTGGATAATAAATACCTTTGACCTCCCCCCCCCCCCCCAAAAAAAAAAAAAACAAGAGATGTTTGTAAAACACTTATGCCCCCCTCCCCCCAAATTGGAATTTTTCCAAGTCCAAGGGGCATAATTCTGTCAAAAATGGCACGATTGTACCCCAAACTGAACTTGACATAGATATTCATCTGATTAATCTGTTTATCAAATTTCATCTCAGTATGTGCAACAGTTGCAAAGAAAATGAACGGAAACTGCAAATAATATTGAATTTTTTTCAAATTCCAAGGGGCATAACTCTGTCAAAAATGGTGCGATCGTACCCAGAACAAAACTTGGCCTAGATATTCATGTGATATATCTGTATACCAAATTTGATTTCAGTATGTGCAACGGTTATGAAGAAAATGAACAGAAACTAAATGGACCGACAGACCGACCGACCGACAGACAGCAGCAAAGCAATATTCCCTCCCTTCTTCGAACGGGGGCATAAAAAATAAAAAAAAAACGCACATACATAATACTGAAATTTGTGCCATTTCATTCAGGGATTTAGTTCTAGATGTAGCCATAAAACTCGTGAAACTGTCAATCCTCTTCTGCCTCATGTTTAATAATGAATTCTAGATAAATGTATATAGTATTGTATATGTACATGATGTATTACAAATATTGAGTAGTGTTGTCAATAGTCATATCACATCTTGGTTATATATATACCTTTGTTGGGTGAAACAGAATTGTTAAGCTTGTATATTGGTAATATTTTTGTTGCTTGAAAGCTCTGAGAGCCCACATGAGTCAGAGTACAGCCACCATTTTAGAAGAGTTGTGAGGGTACCATCTGGAGTGTCGAGGGGAAAGAGAAGTCAAGAGAGGACTAATATTCTCCGCAAGCAGAAATAGATAGTCAGTCTTTTAAAAGTAGGTCATGGTGACCTACCCTTTGGTCGACATTCTCCGAAAACCCAAGATGTCTCAAATGACAAAATTTAACACTTCTAGGCCAATAAATACCCAGGATACTTTAATATAGCCATAAAAGTCAAAACTAGATCACAGTGACCTACTTTTTGTTCAAAATTGTCCATAAACCCAAGTTGCATCAACTGATAAAGTATGATTCTAAGCCAATAAGTACCTAGATACATAAATATAGCCATAAAATGTCATAAGCAGGTCACCGTGACCTACTTTTGTTAGACATTTTCTGAAGACCCAAGATGCATCAACTGACATTAATTTACATTTTCGTAGCGTGTTTTGTAAATTTTAGATAATTATAATGTTTTTAGTGGATTTGATATAAGCAACGATCTATACCAATTTCAGTGTTATTGGAGCTATAAATGATGTTGTTTTTTTATGCTTTTTATTTAAATTATTAATCTTCCAATATAAGATTAAAATAAGCAGACAATTTTTTTATGTAATCATCATTCTCTGAGTTGTCATTTCTATCTATATGTGTATTCCTGGTAATGTGTTTGAAACCAGTAGGAATGGGATAGTGTGTGTGTGTAATTTGATGGCCTAACAATCTGTTAAAGATAAAATAAAATTACATAATGTCTAGAGCCTAGCCTGGTCTGCATACATCATTGGTCCTCACACCTGTATACGCCACAAGATGCGATCCCCTACGCCCGCCTTACACCATGTAAATGTGCGTGCCCAGCAGTAAAACTGTCGTTTGGCATACTTCACATTTACATTGATCATATCATTTTATACATATTTGTAATTAACTATTTAAATTTACGATACATATGCAGATGACTTGCATAAATTTAAAAAGCTAATTTCGATGTAACAATCATCTTCTCACCCCCCCCCCATATTTACTGGGAGTCTGGGACACTTAATTTCTCTTCATTTGAAAAAAAAAACACTTGAATCCCCCTACATCTAAGGATACTTTGTGATAATTTTGGTTGAAATTAATTGGCCCAGTAGTTCTTGAGAAGAAGATGAACATGTGAAAACTTTCTGACAACAACAATGGAAAAATTTGATAACTTCATTAAATATGAATAATTTTTAATTGTGATGTTATTTTTTTTCTTGGCAATATGTTTCACATATGAATGAGAGTCAAAATACAAACAGCAAATTACTTCTATGTCTGTAATATTGAATACCTATCATTGTTAATAGCATTAATTACAAATAGAGAGAATACTGAGATTAGGCGCAAACAACAAATGCATAATTTCAGGAGAACAATTCTTGAGTATTTTGTATCAGTTTTTAATATTAAAAATCTGGGACGAATACAATATTCCTGTAAAAGAAGAACAGCTTTATATTTTTTTGTTTCATTGTATTACACAGAAAATATGAGAAAAATTACAACCTTTAGAAGTTGAACAGCTTGGTGATTTTCTTTTCTTTCCAGCAAGACCTGAATTATTCTTTTTAGTGGAAACTCCTGAAGTCGGTTTTCTGGTTTTAGTCTTCAAAGATTTAGCCATATTTCCATTAAGTTTTGAAAAATCACCTGTAATTATAATATAATTTGTTTTATTAATAAAAACTTGACATAAGTAAATGCAATGTACATACAATTTGCTACTTTAAACATTTGTTCCTTAACTAAATGACTCAACAAGCTCAATGTGCATAAAATTTATTACGTTTATTAAAAAAAAGTTGTTTTTTTTTTCTTTTACAAAAGGTTATAATGATTGTACGAGGCGGGATCAAAAAGTTTTCAAACAAAGTGAATAACTTCCATTAAAGAAAAGACATTTGATTTCAGTGTTGATTATATTTTAAATTAGTCCTCCCTGATTTTAATTTCAATGTTAATGCACATCTGCCACCCTTTTGATCATGCATGAATCACGAACATAATATAGGCGGTCACATGACCCCCTCAGTTGTGTTGTCACAAAAGCTGAAAGATTTTTCTGAGTTTAATATTTCTTTCAATGCAAGTTCATAAGCATGGTGACCATCAAAACCCAAATCTTCGGTCTCGGGAGAGATGTTCATTCAAGGTACCGTAGAAAGAGAATGGGTGCCTCCTTTCTATCATATCTATTATGTTTTTAAAAAATCTAAAGTAAACGATATCTTAGGTATTTTAATAATACTTATACAGACCCTGAGACGTGCTACTACTGCACACGCTTGCTGCACGAATGGTACACGGTTTGCATGAAATGCTGCACGGTTTACACGAAAAGCTTTGCACGAAAGACTGCACGGTTTACACGAAAGGCTGCACGAAACGCTTTGTACACATTTCTCACATGCTTTGTACACGATTCTCGCACGTTTTGGCCTCGGTTTGGATTTTCTACTCGGAATATCTTGGACATTATTACGGTTTTATCATTAATTAAATGGAAATCTTTCACAAAGCTACATTTAGCAGCTGTTTAAATTAAATATCTTTAATAGTTTTCTTATCTGAATGGTGGTTTTGTAGATATAGAGATAGTTTGCGAAATTTTTGATCACCCCTTGTATGCTAAAATAATAAACTGAATTTCTATAAGTTTTGTAAATTTTAAAGTATTTAAACACTGATGACAGAGTTGGGTTTAATTCAACTAATTTCAACTGTTACAGGAAACGTAAGCACCACAAAGAGGATCATCCATATCTGCATATATGATACTTATAGTATGAAGGCTTATTTTAAATGTGTGTTGAATTCTGTGATGATTTGATTTGCTGCTGTCAGTTTGTTTTCAATAATTATATTGTACTTGAAACAACCTTTTTCCCAATGCAAAGAATCTGAATCACTTTTACCTCTTTGCAGAAAATCATCTGTAAACATCTCAATTTTTCACATATTCATTTATAACGTTTCAGCTGCCAAAAGGAAAGCATGATAATTATGTATTTTAATAAACAGCAAAACTTGCTGAAATTAAATCAATCAGAGGAAGATGTTAGAGAATAATTTTGTGTTGTCATCTTCCTAGTTCCAAATACCCATTATAAATACGGTAATTAATTAGTTTTTAATTGTTTTTCATTGTAAAAATAAAGTTCTGCTATTTCTTCTCCTATAGGTAGTTACCATTTACCTTACTAATTATCATTAATTTTGACTTTTCCTAGTACATGTAGGCCGGCATATCAATTTATAATGGAATAAAACAGCATTCAATTCCACAAGTCACAGGTCTTCTTTGAGAAACTACTTCATTTTAAAATAATGTTATCATATATTCATTGCACCTCTAAATCAGACTTTGGAATTAGTCAAAAGACTGTGGTATCAGATACCAGAAACTGTAGATGATGATTATATATTAACCTTTCTGGTCTACAGGTGGACTTGTAATAGTGCAGCTTGCTTTCGAGACGGATTGTTTCTTCATGGCAGTCTGTGGTTTTGATGTATTGCCTACAAACAAGAGAGAATAAGAATAAATTAATTCATTACAGTCATGTAAAACATATGAAATACAGAAGGCAAATGACTCTAGAGATGTCAAAATTCACAGAAAAGCAATGAAAGACTGAAAGATTAAACAATTTGTTGAAAGTTCAAAAAATCTCTTTTCCCTGAAAACATACTGTAAATCACTTTTTTTCCAGAGAACTTTAGTTTCACATAAATATGAGAGACAATGTGTTTGCAGAAATATCATTCTTGCATATATTAACAGATTTCCCCCTTTGTAATACCCAGGGTTCTCCATCATTTGAAATGTTACTGTGTTGCAGAGTTAACGTAAAGAATTCAAATTTCGCGGTATTTTCGCGATCAAATTCGCAACTGAATCACTATTTGTGAAAATTACAAAAGAATACATGCACACACTTATTCAAAAATCGTTAATTAGTTACACAAATGCTATGGTCGTACATATTGATAAAAGTAAAAACACGTTCTGAAAAGCAGAGGAAATTCTGACCAATGCAGTCATACTACTTTATATTTTTGAAAGTAAAATTGCCGTGATGATTTATCAGTTTTCTTGATCGCGTTATCGCATTACATAAAAAAAGAAACTTCAGAACAGTAAACTATTTTAAGAGTTCCTTGAACAAAATTTTAAGCAATTTATTTACATCAATTAAGTGGCTGATTAAATCGACACGATGTTATGTCTGGCTTATAGTGCTTAAATTATTATAGAGCCATGGCTCTATAGATAAAGACATATTTATTTTTTTTTTTAATTATACAATGTATTTTATTGCAACTACCAATTAACCCTTATATGGAAGTGTGAAAAGAAATTATTTGTCTTTGTTCCGTCATGCGTAAAGTCCGGCGAGGGTCTAGGAGATAATTAATTATGCAAGGTGAAGCCCTAGTGTTAAGGTGCTCTAACTTTTATAATTGAAAGACGATATAATTGTTTGATTAAAGTCTCAGTTAGAGAGAATTTGTGTGTTTAGATTTTCTAATTATCACAGATCTTACTGTGTTGGCAAAATTTTTACTGTGTTGCATGCAAAAAGTTTGAATCGTTACTGTGTCGGAGAAAATTTTACTGTGTCGGGAGCAACACAGTAAAACAGCTCATGGAGAACCCTGGTAATACCTATTTTGACCTTGTCCATTCCAAAAGGGTAATGATTCGAACAATGTAGAATCTACACTACCCAAAGAGGCTTCCACATAAGTTTCAGCTTTTCTGGTCCAGTGGTAAATTCTTCAGAAGAGTTTTAATGACCCCACCCTTTTTGTCTTTTCTTGATTACTTCCCCTTGTAAGGGCACTTGGCCCTTCATTTTAACAATCTAAACTCCCCTTTACCAAAAAGTGCTTTGCACAGTGGCTGCAACGTTATTGTTGACAACTTACACGAACGATCATGTTACACGAACGATTCCGCACGATTAAACCTGTTACACGAACAATCCTTCACGCACACGATTCTAAACGTTACACGATCTTACATGATTGCTATCGCAAACGCACGATTCTTCACACAAAATAGTTCAAAATATTTAGGAATCGATATTTTCAAAACGAAATAAGGCTTAATACTGATTATAGATTATTAATTAAATTATCAATATTATTTCACCGACTTTGAAAAAAACGGCGCTATGAAAAAATGGCAGCATGGAATAACTTTAATTACAAGTTATTTAAACAAAAAAATGCTTTTTTTGGTAATTATTACTGGAATTAACGGAAGCAGCTGTTGCAGAAAAAATACATAAACCGTGTAGAAAGAAAAAGAAAGACATTTTATTGTTTATATTTATATCTGTTTAAAAAATCATTAAAAGTAGGATTAGAAAGATTATTATTGTATTAATTATGCGAACGTCTTTATACGTTTCATTGATGGAACAGCCACTGATCGAGAAACCTGTACAGGCGGCATGCCTACTGTAGCTCATGCAGTGATTAACGCCATGGGTTTTCTTAAGAAATAAAGGAGAAGATATTTAGTGGATGTAAATATATCAACACGTTTCAATTTATTCAATGTTTGTGAATCTCTGAAAATGAACTTGTCCATTATTTATCAATTTTTTATTTGCAGTTATTCTAATAATTAGTAAAAAGTAAGCTCCAGAGATAAACACTGATAAACAAAACCCCGAAGATCATGTCGTGTGAATGAACATTCGCCGACTAAATATTTATGTAAGCCTTGAGAAATGTTTTTTGTAAAAATATTAATTTTTGATGTACTGATTTTTAATATCCACAATTAGCAATAAACAAGAATGAACATCAGAGGGAGAGAAAAAAAGTTAAACATCTAGGCCTAAGTACGGTTGATCATAATAGGTCATGCTATTTGACGAGAACATGATATTGTACGACTTATTATATTGCTTGTTTACAAGCGATAATTAGTTCGTTCTGCATTCAATTATGTGAATTGCGATTCATTGATTTTATTTGGATTTAAATAAAAAAGTCTAAGGAAATGCTTGATTAACAAATAACATTCCGATAAAAACTTACAAAACGAAATTTACACTGTTAGTTTACTTATGTGTTATATGCAAAGAGAAGTAACTCTAGTTTATGTATATCTTATCTCCCCATAAGGGAGCTCTTCATTTTATAAAGTTCAGTTTTAGTGTATGATGCTGAATAAAGCATGGTCTAACAATGGTAGCAGAGCGTGGTTAAAAGAAAATTAAGGATACAAGTGCTAAAAACAGTGTAAGCAAGTGTGTGACATTTAATTATAACAATTCATTGTTTGGTGAATGAGAAAAAAGGTTTGACCTTAGCGAACTGAGAAAATGTAAACAAAAATCAATCCCCCATCTTACAACCCCAAAATCAAAAGTTATGAACTATACAAACAAGAACTCTTAGCATGAAAAGAAGTCACAGAGTTAGATGAAAAGAAACAAGGTGTTGCTATTGCCCTGTCTCTTCCTGAAAATGATGAGTCCCAGATACGTGAAAAAGTGTTTGATCAGCTGATATTGGAGGTTCTTAAAAAAGACACAGGTTTGAAAACATTGATACAATTTTTGGACAAACATTTAGCCAAAGATGACCTGGCAGATAGCTTAGAAAAATTTGAAGATTTTGAAGATTTTAGAAGGTGTGATGGACAGTCTATCAATGAATACATATCCATTTTCGATGCAAAATACAGAAAAATTGAAAAGAAAAATATGAAGCTACCCCCAGAGATTTTGGCATTCAAATTACTCAGAAGATCATTGATAAGCAAAGAAGAAAGAATGATCGTCTTGACAGGAATGAATTTTGAGAACAAACAAACTTTATATGAAGAAGCAAAGAAATCACTTAAAAAATTCAAAGGTGAAACTTGTGAAGGAAATGCACCTACCAAACCAGTATCCATTAAACTTGAACCAGCATTCCTTGCAGAAAATGAAGAAGCACTAATAGCAGCGGGATACACTAGAATGAGGAGCAACAAAGTTTATCGGGGAGGGGGAAGGAGTGAGCAGATGAGAGGAAGAGGATTTCAGAGTGGCCAGAGTAGAGACTCTCATCGAGGTCAGTACCGTGGACAATCGCGTGTAGGCAGCTCATCAGTCAAAAAGAGTATGAATCCATCAGGACTAGATGGAAATGTGTTAACATGCAAATCTTGTGGGTCATTCAGACATATGGTGGCAACATGTCCTCATAGTTGGGAAAATATGGCTAACGTCAATACATGTTCAGCCGAGGAAGAAGAATTTGTACTGTTTACGGGTTACCAACCACAGGAAATAGGACATTTGGGGATGGACGCGGGAAACTGTGCAGTCTTAGACAGTGCGTGCAGCAGTACAGTGTGTGGGAGTACCTGGATCAACACATACATTGATTCATTGGATGATTTGGACAAGAACAAAATTAGAAAAACTGAGGGCAGAAGAGTTTTCAAGATTGGAGGAGGAACTCGTCTGAAATCTGAAGGAGAATTTGCAATTCCAGCTCGTATAGCAGGGAAAGATGTGACAATAACAACTGATGTTGTTTATTCTGACATTCCATTGTTATTATCACGAACAGCTATGAAAACTGCAGGCGTGAAGATGAACTTAGAAGATGACACAGCAGAAATTCTAGGGAAAACAATGAACCTTAATGTGACCTCTTCTGGACACTATTGTATCCCTATAGATAAAGCAGAAATGATACCCATTGAGGAAGTTTGCTCTGTTCGTATTGATGAAGTGGACCCAAAAAAGAGATACTCAACTCTCTTGAAACTGCACCGACAATTTGCCCACCCACCAAAGAAACGACTTGTATCACTTTTGCAAGATGCGGGTGCATGGCGAGATAGCTTTGAAGAGGACGTTGAAAAAATAGAGCAGAGATGTGAAGTGTGCAAGACGTATGCCCGAACCCCATCTCGGCCTGTCGTTTCATTTCCAATGGCATCTCAATTTAATGAGAAGGTTGCTATGGATCTGAAGTACTGGAGAGGAAAATGGATACTACACATGATTGACATGTGGTCTAGATACACTGTGTCAGTTTTTATTCAGAGGAAAAAGACAACTGATGTTATTGAGAAAATCATGTCTCATTGGATGGGTATATTTGGTGTCATGGGTGCAATTATGACAGATAATGGAGGGGAGTTTAACTCGGACGAAATTCGAGAAGTTGCATCCATTCTGAATGTCAAAGTTTGTTTGTACATCTTCAGGTGAAAGCCCATTTCAAAATGGTTTGTGTGAGAGAGTACACTCTGTGACTGACATGATGCTCACAAAATTGGAACACAATTACAAACATGTAAGTGAACAGAGCTTGTTATGTTGGGCAAACATGGCAAGAAATGCCTTGCAAATGTGGAATTGGTTTAGTAGTCACCAGCTAGTATTTGGGTGGAACCCCAAACTCCCAAACATCATGACGGACAAACTGCCTGCTCATGAGGGTCGTACGATGAGCGAGACATTTGCTAAAATCTTAATTTACTGCACAGCACTAGACGAGCTTACATTGAGGCTGAAGCTGATGAGAAAATCAGACGGGCGTTGTTAAATAAAGTGAAAGCTGCTGAAGAATCTTATGAGAATGGTGATATGGTGTACTACAAACGTGAAGGTAGAGACAGATGGCTTGGACCCGGAAGACTTGTTTTTCAAGATGGCAAAGTAGTTTTCGTTCGACATGGTGGAGTTTTTGTTCGAGTGTCAACCAACAGGTTACAGAAAATAACAGATATTGAAACTACGGGTGCTAATCAAGAGAAAACACAAAATCAAGATGAAACAAATGAAGTGGAACTTAAGAAAAGTACTGTCACTGAATACCTGTCAGAGAAGAAAATTGACCAGAACTCGCATCAACCTCCCAAACCCACTGAAAGCAAACGAGAGAATTCAGTACAAGATGGGATTGGAGGATGAGAATTGGATAGAAGCAACAGTTCTCAGCAGAGCAGGCAAAGCTTCAGGAAATAACAGAGATTGGTATAACGTGAAAGATTCTGAGAGTGATCAAGAGAAAAGCGTAGACTTGGGTAGACTTCCTTGGGAGAGAATCAACCAAACAGAAGAGAGTGTCAGTTCTACAACATGTGAGAATACAAACTGTGACAATATTTCTCTAGCAAAGCAAAATGAGTTAGAGAAACTAAAGAACTTTGACACATATTCAGAAGTTCTGGATGAAGGACAGCATAGATTATCTACCAGATGGGTTGTGACTTCAAAAGAAGGACAAGTAAGAGCAAGACTTGTAGCTCGTGGGTTTGAAGAGGATTTTTGCATCCCCAGAGACAGTCTGACAGTTGGAAAAGGTGGCCTTAAGATATTTTTGACTCTAACGGCAAGTAAACTATGGGATGTCAAAACCACAGACATCAAGTCAGCCTTTTTGCAAGGGAAGAAACTTGACCAAGATGTTTATCTTCAACCGCCAAAGGAAAGTAACACACCTGCCGGAATGATATGGAAGTTGAAACACTGTCTATATGGACTGAAAGATGGTGCAAGACAGTTTTACTTGAGTGTTAAAGAAGAACTTGACAAACTTGGCTTTGAACAGTGTAGTGTCGACCCAGCTCTTTTCTACTATAGAAGGGACGGAAAGCTACATGGAATAATTTGTTCTCATGTTGACGATTTTCTCCATGCCGGGGATGAGACTTTTGAGAGACAAATTTGCAAGTTCAGGGAGAGATTTTCAGCAGGAAAAGTTGCAGAACGCCAATTTCAGTATATTGGTTTCTATGTTAAGCAAGATCAAGGGGGATAATACTGGATCACACTAATTACATGGAGAAATTACGAAGTACAGAAATCGACCCACTGCGAGCAAGTCAGAAGAAAAGTCAACTAAGTGATGAAGAACAGACTGCATATATACAGACAAATCATAGGGCAGATCAACTGGGCAGTGCAGGGATCAAGACCAGACCTTGCATTTGAGATGATCCATATGAGTACTAAGCTAAAGAGTGGAACCGTGACAGATTTAATCAGAGCAACAAAAATTATTAACCGGCTGAAGGACTTAAAAAGTATCTTGAGATTCCCAGCTTTAGATCTTGCATCACTAAAGATATTGACATTTACTGATGCATCTTTAGGAAACCTTAATGACGGAACTGGAAGTACCCAGGGAGTTATCATCTGGATTATGGACAAACATGGAAAATGCTGTCCCCTTTTCTGGCAGGCTAAAAAGATCAGAAGAGTTGTCCGCTCCACTCTTGCAGCGGAGGCACTTAGTCTACAGGAAGGACTGGAGGCAAGTTTTTATTATCGACACATGTTGGAGGAAATTTTGGGAGTTCCCAGCAAATCCATCGCGATTTATGCATTTGTAGACAATAAGAGTGTGATTGAATCCGTGCATTCAACAAAACTTGTGGAAGATAAGAGACTCCGAATTGATATCGCGGCATTGACAGAAGAAGTCATTCAAGGAGACGTGAAAAAAATTCAGTGGTGTTCTGGACAAAAACAGCTCGCTAATTGCCTAACAAAAGCAGGAGCAAGTGGTTTGTGTGTTCTGGAGATTTTGCAGACAGGACGGATGCTGCCAGACTTTTGTGGTTAAAACAATGTTTTGAAAGACAATGTTATTGCTTTATCTTACAATCTGAAACACTTAATTCTATATTTTTTAATTTTATTTTCTTTACCCAAAAAGAGAAAAGTATAATTAATGTTAGTTTACTTATGTGTTATATGCAAAGAGAAGTAACTCTAGTTTATGTATATCTTGTCTCCCCATAAGGGAGCTCTTCATTTTATAAAGTTCAGTTTTAGTGTATGATGCTGAATAAAGCATGGTCTAACATACACGTTTCTAAACGCACGATCACACACGATTAAAACGGCAAACGATTGAGTGTGAATTACGCACGATCTCGCATGTTACACGAACGATCACGCACGATTCTACACAATTGAGTTCAACAATAACGTTGCAGCCACTGTATCAAGTTTAGCTAAAATTGGCCTTGTGGTTCTTGAAAAGATGAAAGTTGAAAATGTGAAAAGTTTAAAGACAGAGTGATCAGAACGGCTCACTTGAACTTTCAGCTCAGATGAGCTAACGAGAGAATAGTAAAATATTTTTAATAGAATATTCAATTGTATCTGTGAATTTGAACTGATGAATTTTTGTTGTCAAAATTATAATCATTTGAAACGGAACCTTTCGTTGCCTTCTTCTTCTTTCCACAGTACCACAACTTTAATTCCCTAACCCTGGACTTTGTGGCTGGTGTTTTCAGTTTTTCTTCCTCGATCATATCTTTCAGATTGGCTGTCAAATACACTGTAAAAAAAATATTTATTTCATGCACTTTATAAATAAATAAAATTTGCAGTAAATTAATGACTGACCCCAGCAAATGATTTTACACTGCAAAAATACTGCAGATTATTAATACATTAACTACACTTCCAGGATATTAAACTTAACAAGATTTTTTTTTCATTACTCATTTTAAAAAAATATAAAGATAATCCTGATGATGCCAGATTTTGAAATGCTTTAAGCAGATAGAAGTGCTGCAAGATATTAAAGTATTAATAGGTGGAGGGCTAAAATAGGTTGAGTCTGCTGTCCAACCCTATTCACCGTAACACCTATAAATAAAATATTGTTAAAATTAATTACATTATGAATACCTATTAATGTTTTTTTTTTGGTGAATACAAGTTTGAGAAGATCAATATTCTGTAAAATGTTTACCAAGAGTTACTTGCTCTTGTTAAAAAAAACCATGGCATTACATGATGGGAATTGATTACAAACAAGAAGAGATAAACTGCATACCCTTTCTTTGATTATCTCCCCTTGTTAAGGGCCTTAGCCCTTTATTTTAACAATGCAAATTCCCCTTCATAAAAGGATCCCTTAATGTATCAAATTTTGTTAAAAAGCACAGTGGTTCTTCATGTTTTTGAGAATTCAAAATGAATTTAAAGTGAAATGTTTTCTGACAGTCAGACTCACCACTGACAATGGGAGGTCAGAAAAGATGAGTTAAAAATAAGACCGGGAAAAAATAGCAAGACAAAAAATAAATCTGAATGAATAATTTGATTTTTAATGGTTATACAAAATCTAGTAAGGCAATTAATTGTTTTAAGATTTTTCATTCACAATACCCAGGTCTAGCATATAGTTTTGGTATCTTTAATGCTTGAAGATGATGGTTAACATTGTTAAAGGAAAAGTGAAAGAATTTAATTGTGAACGTCCAGAATGTGTAGTGACTCATGAATGGTACATACATGTATAAGGTGTGCATGAACTTCTGCTAAACAAACTGAAAAAGAATCTAAAAATAAGTCCTAAGGCTTGTATTACATTTTAATTGCCTTTATAAAACAATTTCAGATAAGGAGAAAGCAAACAGTATTCCAGATCAAAATCAATACAACAAAACAAAATAGGAGTAAACACAGACCTCCAAAACATAAGAGGTGGGATCAGGTGTCATGGAGGAGTGAGCATCCCCCGCCGACCAGTCACACCTGCTGTGTGCTTCTTATTTGTCATGATTGGGAAATAACAGTAAAATCCATCATCAATTCAGTGTATAAATATTAAATTAGATTTAAACAGGCATAATATAAATGTATTCATGTCATATATTCATGTATTGTGACCAAACATTTCCTGGCTGCTTTACAATGATAACCCTAAGTTAATCAAAATATTTACATTTGCAAATTTTTTTCTTATATAAACCTATGTAAGAGAAAATACAGTGGACCTTCAGATATTCGGATGCCAGATATCAGGATGCTTCAGTATCCAGATGACTTTTTATCGGAACAGAATTTTTAAAACGTAATGTTGTCTTGTTTAACTGGTAATTCAGGTATCCGGACGCTTCACATATTCGGAAAAATTGACTAGGAACCAAAGCGTCCGGATAAATGAGGCTCCACTGTATATTCAATTCTGTATGAACTTATTTGGGGGTCAGAGGTCATAGAAGCTACATGCTACATGCTTGATCATGTAACCAACTCAGTTCATTTCCCAGAAAACATTTCAACATTGCTGTTTATTTCTTAATTAACCATTGTTACAATAAGCTATGATTATATACACACTGACAGTACATGATTGATACATTTTACACCTCTTGTATTTACTTTTAATCATGTTAATATCTACCTAATTCTATCTAAATATACCTGTGGTTCCTTTCTTCTTCCAAACACATCCTTTAACTACTATCACCCTTATTGTACTTTTCAACCACGAATGTTTATCAAACTTTAAAAAAAAAGAAATTTGTAATCATCAGATTAAGACCTGAAAAACAAGATGTGTTTGTGAAACACTATGCACTTGACAGTAACTAAGTTCAAAATGATATTTTAGCATATAGGTCACAGTCAAGGTCAAAAGGTCATTGACCTTGGTGCCATTTGAAAGAACTCGATTAGTTGAGTATGCATAACAAATATGAAGTCTCACGGTTCAAAAGTAATAGCAAAAGTTAAAGTTGACGACAGAGAGAAAAACAAACAACAAAACTGAGAAAGAGACTGACAGGACAAAAACAATATACACCCTGATCTATCATATAAAAAAGTGTTGTAATTCAACAGAGCTCAGCAGCAATAAAGTTTGAAAACAAGAGGCCCAAGGGCCATGAATCGCTCTTCTGATAAATTGTACAATCTATCACTTCTATTAGAAACCTCCAACTCTATTAATATCATAAGGCCCAAAATGCATCAACTTACAAAGTTTGATAATATTTAGCCAGATAAGACTGAAGATATTATAATATGATTATAAAATACCATTAGTTGATCACAGTGACCTACCTTTAGATTGAAATTTTCTGAGGACTCAAGATACATTAATTGACAAAGACTGATGATTCTAGTTAAGTACCTGAGATAATCAAAAGTAGGTCACCATGACCTACTTTTTGGTCAACATTCTCTGAACACCCAAGATGCATCATCTGAAAAAGTTTGACGATTCTAAGCCAATTAGTACCTGAGATAATTAAATATTGCCATCAAATGTCAAAAGTAGGTCATGGTGACCTACTTTTAGGTCGACGTTATTAAAAGACCCATAAATGCCTAAATTGACAAAATTTTATGATTCTAAGCAAATAAGTACCTGAGATATTCAAAATTAGGTCACCGTGACCTACTTCTTGTTGGACATTCAATGAAACCCTAAGATGCCTCAACTGATAAAGTTTGATAATTCCGAGCCAATAAGTACCAGATATAATTAAATATAGTCATAAAATGTCAAAAGTAGGTAACAGTGACCTACTTTTTGGTCGACATTCTCCGAAAACCAAAGATGCCTCAACTGACAAAGTTTGATGATTTTTAGCCAATAAGTGCCTAAGATACTTAAATATAGCCATAAAATGTCAAAAGTAGGTCACAGATACCTACTTTTTGGTCGACAATCTCTGAAAACCCAAGATGCATCAACTGACAAAGTTTGATGATTTTAGGTCAATAAGTACCAGAGATACTTAATTATAGTCACAAAATGTCAAAAGTAGGTCACCATGAGCTACTTTTTGGTCGTCACTCTCTGAAAATTCAAGATGCATCAACTCACAAAGTTTGATGATTCTTAGTCAATAAGTGCCTGAGAGATACTTAAATATAGCCATAAAATGTCAAAAGTAGGTCACTGTGAACTACTTTTTGGTCGACAATCTCTGAAAACCCAAGATGCATCAACTGACAAAGTTTGATGATTCTAAGCCAATAAGTACTGGAGATACTTAAATAAAGCCATAAAATGTCAAAAGTAGGTCACCGTGACCTACTTTTTGGGCGTCACTCTCCGAAAACCAAATATGCATCGACTCACAAAGTTTGATGATTCTAAGCCAATAAATACCTAAGATACTTAAATATAGCCATAATATGTCGAAAGTAGGTCATCATTACCTATATTTTGGTCGACATTTTTCAAAGACTCAAGATGCATCTACTGACCAAGTTTGATGATCTTAGGACTGAAGGTAATCAAAATATGAGTTTTGAACAATTTCAAAACAAATGTCGGCAAAATTCAAAAAGTAGGTCACAGTGACTTACTTTTTCATAAATATGTTTTTTATGTCCCAAGATGCATCAAAGTACAAGATTTGATGATTCTAAACCCCCCAGTGTCTGAAATAATGGGATTTACTGTTTTTGAAAGGATAAGTCATAAAGTCTAAAAATTAGGTCATGGTGACCTACTTTTAAGTTGACATTGACAATTGTTTGAGGACCCAAGATGCATCAACTGACAAAGTTGTATGATCATAGGCCTTAAAGTGCCCAAAATATGCCTTCAAATCAATTTGAAAACAAATCCCTGCTTTTGAGTTAAGGAGGCTGGGGGGTCAACATATAAACCAAAAATTAACCACCAGAATTAACTTATTTTTTTAGATATGGTATATTAAGCTGTCATCTATTATTTGGCAAAGAAAAAATTCCTATATTTTAGTTTTAATTTTTTTTTATTTTTTATATCTTTATATGGAGCTCTTCTTTTAAAGGAGATCGAAATAGTCTGAAAATGGCTGCCACCCCCCAGCCTCGTTAACATGATGTGAAGTCATAAGATGCATCAACTTACAAGATTTGATGATCCTTGTCCTTATAGTAAGCAATATATGTAGACACGTTTTTATTAATTGTAAATTTAGGTCAACTTTGAAGTGACCTTGAGACCACGCCCTTTGCCCCAGGGTAATTTCCCGTGCAAATTTTAATCTTCAACATATCCTGATCCTTGCATGTAAGTTTGGTGAAAATCTGCCTGGTGGTTATGGAGAAGATTTTTTTGTTTTTTTTTCCTGATTATCTCCCTTTGTTTAAGGGTCCCAACCCTTATTAGTCCCCTACGGTGAAACCGGGAGGGAATATAGGTTTCCTCGGCGTCCGTCTGTCTGTCCGTCTGTCTGTCCTCGTCAGTCTGTCCCACTTGGTTTTCCGCACTTTTTTTCTAAACGCTTGCAGATATTGAGCTGAATTTTGGTATGTGAGTGTATCTTGATGAGTTACAGATCAATTTTGAATTTCGCTTGGCTTCATTGATTTTTGACAGATATTATGGCATTTTGAAAATTTTTCTTAATCGCTAAATTAAGATCGGGTTCGAACTGCGCTAACTTCCGATTGTCGACAAAAATATGAAGTGAGGAAAAGACGGTGGAGAAATGAGTTAAATTTTCCTCTTAAAGTGGATTATTTTATTAGTTTTAAGACATTTACAACTTGAAAATCTTTCAGTTTTACTTTGGACATGACTTTTGCTTATTATAAAATGACATCATAAAGAAAAAGGGGAACCCGGTAGGGGACATGTATTGCTTATGCAATACTCTCAGAATGCTTGTTTTAGTATAAAAGGTAGCCCTTGGGCCAAGGATACCCTGTGACAAATTTGGTACCGATTGGCCAAGGGGTTCTTGAGTTATGGCCCATATTCTAAAAAGTTTACGCACACCGCACAAATGGTCATAGCATTAGCTCTTTGAGCCTTTGGCTCAGAAGAGCTACAAAACCATTTTAGCATATGGGTCACTTTCAAAGTCACAAGGTCATTGACATTGTATTAATTCAAAGAACTTGATTAGTCAAGTATGCATACCAAAAAAGAAGCCTCTATCTCTCGTAGCTCAAATTTATGGTGAAGGTTAAAAAAGCTACCGTATAAGTGGAAATTTTAGCGAGACGCAAATTTAGCAATTTGTCCTTAAAAACTGGTAATTTATTTTTAGCGAGATGTTATTTTAGCGATCTTAAAATGCATATTAAAGGAACTATTACAAAAAAAATGCAATTATTTTTTAGCGATATTCAATTTTAGCGACCTCCGCACCATCGCTAATAATGTCAAAATTAAATCCTCACTAAAAATTCTACTTATATGGTATTTTTAGCATATAGGTCACAGTCAAGTTCACAAGGTCATTAACCTTGATGTCATTTGAAAGATATTCATAAGTAGAGTATGCATACTTAATATAAAGTCTCATCTTTTGTGGTTCAAAAGTTATGATGAAGTTTCAAAATACTTTTTAGCATATAGGTCACAGTCAAGGTCACAAGGTCATTGACCTTAGTGTCAATTCAAAGAGTTTTATTAGTGAAGTATGCATACCAAATATGAAGTCTCTAACTTTCATGTTTCAAAAGTTATGGCAAAGGTTAAAGTTTGAAGACAAAAAAAATTATTTTTATAGGTCAATCACAAGTTCATTGACCTTAGTGTCATTGGAAAGAGGTTAATAGTAAAGTATGCATACCAAGATGAAGTCTATATTTTTAATGGTTCAAAAGTTAAGAAAAAGGTTAAAGTGTGTAGAAAAAAGCTATTTTTTAGCATATAGGTTAGTCAAGGTCACAAAGTCACAGGGTCATTGACCTTGGTGTCATTTCAAAGAGCTTTATTAGTGGAGTATGCACACAAAATATGAAGTTTCCATCTTTAATGGTTCAAAAGTAATGGTGAAGATCAAAGTTTGCAGACAAACAGACAGACATACAGGACAAAAACAGTATACACCACAGATCTATCAATCCGAGCGGATAAAAATTGGAAATTTTAGGATACCATCCATGTACATAAAATGATGTATTTAATAGCGCAATGGGTATTAAGTTTTTGGTATGATCATGAGCTATGCACGTCCTTGCATCATATTGGCTATATAAAAAAATATTTTTAACTGTATTCATGAATAAGAGCATTGTTATCAGCACAAAGCTTGCTAAAATATGAAGCCCGCTTTTTTAAGTACACATACAGTAATCATATTACACATTGAAATCAGTGAATATTCGATTTTTGGAGTTTGTTATCAAATGAATATTGCTTCAGAATCTGCAAAATTTAGTAAAACAGGAAGTCTGCGAGTCATTAATGCTCACTAGTTTATAGTTTCAAAGTAGGTTATTGGCAATTTTTTGTCTTTATGACGTCACAAACTAGTCTGATTTTGCATTATTTTTTAGAAAAAGGACTAAATGGACAAATTAATTTCAACAATTTTATCTATAGAATTTATAGAGCACAGGTCTGCTCAGGAACAACATTTGCATATTTAATTGATATTGTCATTCTACACATTATATCAAAATACTGAGCCTGCATGAACAAACCTGCGCTCAGTGATTTTCACTCAAAATATTGACACAATTTATACAAAATTTTCCATAGAAATCATGGAAATTTTAGATTTACGTCATTTTCCTGATGTCAAATCAAACATATTGCTGATAAAGACAACCAGTGCTATGAAGTCAGCATGTATCCCCATGTTTTAAAACATAATCAAATCTTACTCCTTCAACAGGTCAAAGTTTTATTTTGGGAGCAAATATTGGTTACTATTGAATAAAGTTCTTTGTAACTGACATATAAACAGAAATTTGACATCTGATTCAAACAGATATGAATCCAACCAGATGGCATGCCTACAGTGTAACCAAAGGCCGCTAAAATTTCAAGCATCTACAATGAGTAGAAGATGAGAAAACTGCAACAAAATTTTGTTACAGACAGACCCACAGATAAACAGGAAGTTGAAAACAGATTCATACAAATATCATGGCATGCCTAAACAAAGACTATGCTAAAATTTTAAGCATTTGCGGTGAGAAAACAGACAGAAATTTGTTTTGGACTGACACACAGAAACACAGACAGACATACAAGGGTAAAACAGTATTCCTCTTCTCCTTCGAAATGTGGGCCTTGGGGTATAATAGCAGGTTAGGTACCTTTTCTTATTCGGGATTGTAGGTTCCGATAAATATATAACTGAAAGCCCTGAATTATATTTTAAATTTTACCCTTACATCCTTACAACATGTTACGCAAGAAAGATCATGAAAGATCAAGATATTTCTAAAGAACAATTCTTTTTAAAGCTACCTTATCTGACTGGAAGACAGTTTTTCAGTTCATATTTCAATGTAGGGGGGGATATTAACCAAAACATTGCATTTTTTAAAAGCAATTTTGTATTTTTTCAACAAAGAAAAAAACTTAAGACAGAAATATAGGTCTTGATTAGATATGACATTAATAATTTCAAATCGCTTACATCTTTCTTCTTGCTAGAAGCCAGGCTAAGGATTACCTCCCCTGTCTCATCTATAAGGGTAATCTCTTTTCTATAAAATCTCTTCATCATCCCATTTTGCTTTGGCTCTGGTTTTTTAGTCTTTTTCAAGATTGCCAATATATCTGGAAGATTTTGAACACCAGTTTAAAATATTGATGTATATATTTACAAGCAAATTGAAATTTATGAGCTCCCCCCACCCCCGGCGGATGCATTTAAAGGTACATACACAACAAGATTGCCACTTTTCCTAAGTATTAAGAATAAAATTAAAATTTATGAAAGTGCAATGATGTGTCAATCAAACCCATCCAAAAATTTGAAGTTTCAATAACTTTTAGCATGTTTAGATGAAATAAGAATTTTAAGATATTAATTTTCGTGTGAAATGCTATTACAATATATAAGTCTTGATATTCTACAGAACTGATAACTTCAAATCTGTGTCTTTGCACCTTTAAAACCTCACCAAATTTCTGGGCATCCAATAAATTCTGAGAGGCCTGCCGAACCTCCCTCAGACATGTGGGTTTCAGATTCAAACCTCCATTTCTGCTTGTACCACTGCTATTCCCTGCTTTACTGACTTTCTTTTCACAACTTTGGACAGTTTTTTTATCAAGACAAATGATTTTTCCATTAGATGCATCTTGAAATTCTGTGCCTTCTGCAAAGTGAAGCTCATATCCATGGCCCACATTATTTGTTTTGTAGACATTCTTAATTTTGGCTCCTTTAATATAATATTCCTGAAAAAAAAAAGAACATGATCTTTGATCTTCATCCATGATCAAATCCTAAGGTATCAGCTGGTAGTTAAATAATAAGTTAGAACCTTTTCTTTCCAAGGAAGCTACAAGAAAGTAAAACTTACATGAGGAATGCCAATTATAAACACAGGGAAGGTATAAAATTATAATTGATACATGTTATAATTGACAAGAGGCCCATGGGCCACATTGCTCTCCTGAGCAATGTAGCTAGGAAAAAAGCATAAATCAATTTATTATTGAAAAGTTAAAACCCAAAAGTGGTCCCAACCAATCCTTAAAAGGGAGAGGGTATGATTTGAACAAACTTGAGTCTACACTAAGTAAGGATGCATGCATATTTCTTTAATTACCTGGCTTTATCGTCCTTTACATTTGAACTTACATTGTGGCCCCGCCATACACCCAGGGGTCATGAATTAAACAAAATTGAATCTACACTATCTGAAATGCTTCCATATGACTAGGACTGATCATGGCTTTGCTATTCTTGAGAAAAAGATTTTTAAAGATTTTTTTCTACATGTCTCTATTTGAAATACTTGGATTCCATGTTGTGGACCCACCCTACCCCAGGGGTCATGATTTAAACAAACTTAAATGTTCACTTCTTGAGGTTGCTTCCATAAAAAGAGGCCCAGGGGCCACAGCGCTCACCTGAGCACATCTGGCTTGAATTTAACCCCCCCTCCCCCAGGCGTTCATCATTTGAACAAACTAGAATCTACACTACCTGAGGATGATTCCATATAAATAACACTAATCACAGCTCTGAAGTACTTGAAAAGAAAATTTTAAAAAGTTTCCCTATATATCCCTATGTAAAACTTGGTTCGGCCATTTTGGCCCCACCCTAGCCCCGGGGGTCATCATTTAAACAAACTTGAATCTACACTACCTGAGGATGATTCCACATGAATTTCATCTTTCCTGGCCAGTGGTTCTGGAGAAGAAGTTTTTTAAAGATTTTTCCTATATATTCCTCACAGGCACTTGTTTCTATAATAAATTGTTGACCTATAGTATAATAATAACATAAGGAAATGAGGAATTATTATTATACTATGGGTCAAAACTTTATTATAGAAACAAGTGGCTGTGATATTCCTAAGTAAAACTTAGGTCGGCCATTTTGGCCCCACCCTTGCCCCGGGGGTCATGATTTGAACAAACTTGAATCTACACTACCTGAGGATGATTCAACATGAGTTTCACCATTCCTAGCCCAGTGGTTCTTGAGAAGAAGATTTTTTATAAATGTCATTAATTTTTCTCTAATTCATAATTATCTCCCCTTGGAAAAGGGTGTGGCTCTTCATTTGAACAAACTTGATTCCCCTTCACCCAAAGATACTTTGTGCCAAGTTTGGTTGACACCAGTGGTTCTTGAGAAGAAGATGAAAATGTGAAAAGTTTACGACGACGACAACGACTACGACAATGACAGACAACGGACAAATTTTGATCAGAAAAGCTCACATGAGTCTTCGGCTCAGGTGAGCTAAAAATATCATCATTCATGCCTTTGCTATTCTTGAGAAGAAGATTTTTAAAGAATTTTCCTATATATTTCTATGTAACGCTTTGATCGGCCATTGTGGCCCCGCCCAAGCCCCAGGAGTCACGATTTGATCAAACTTGAATCTCCACTACCTGAGGATGCATCCATAAAAATATGGATATTCATGCCTATGCTATTCTTGAGAAGAAGATTTTTAAAGAATTTTTCTATATATTTCTATATAAAACTTTGATCAGCCATTGTGGCCCCGCTCTACCCCCAAGAGTCATGATTTGAACAAAATTGAATCTACGCTACCTGAGGATGCTTCCATAAAAATATGATCAATCATGCCTATGCTATTCTTGAGAAGAAGATTTTTAAAGAATTTTTCTATATATTTCTATATAAAACTTTGATCAGCCATTGTGGCCCCGCCCTACCCCCAAGGGTCATCATTTGAACAAACTTGAATCTACTTTACCTGAGGATGCTTCAATATAAGTTTCATCCTACCTGGCACAGTGGTTCTGGAGAAGATTTTTAGATCATTGCATCAAATTCTCACTACTGGTATTTCTAAATTATCTCCCCTTAAATACATGTAAAGGCATGGCCCTTCATATGAACAAACTTTCAATCCCCTTCACCTAAGAATACTTTATGCCAAGTTTGGTTGAAATTGGCCCCGTGGTTCTTGAGAAGAAGTCGAAAATGTGAAATGTTAACGACAACAACAAAGACAGACAATGGACAAAATTTGATCAGAAAAACTCACTTGAACTTTCGGCTCAGGTGAACTAAAAGTATATGATTTGTCAAACATGGTAAACATGGTAAAAAAAGGTTTTTAGTTATAGCAAACATAATCATAATGAATTGATTCTTACAAAAATGTGTTTTTTCGTTCCCTGTTGTTCTAAAATATATAATTATCAACTTGACAATTATAACAATTTATGTCATTATTCAGGAATTAAATGTCCCTGGCACTGTAAATGTGCTTTATTGTACAATAAAAATGCATTAGAACTAATTTACCGTAAAATCCCTTTTAACCGCCCCTGACCCTAAGCGCCCCCATGGCGTTTTTTCCATTGTCAGAAATTAAAATAAGGGCCTCCTCTACAGTGATCAAAATAATATAGCATCGTATCAAAAGTCTGCCACAATTTGAAGAAAGTAATCATAAAACTTGTCTATTATCCGATATCTCAGTGGAAAATGAATCATTTAGTATAATTTGGGTGAATTGTCTTCACTGAGGGTAAATTTAAGTTAGACATTGTTCAGTTGTTCTATGAATTTATTTTTTTTCAAAAGATTTTTTGAAGTTAAAATATGACATTAACTTTTATCATGTTTATAATGAGATTACCAAAATAACTGCCCCTCTTTCCATCTTTTCCCAATTTTCGAAGCACCCGGGGATGGTTAATACTAATAGGGATTCTACAGTAATTCACCATTACATGTATAGTAAAAAATTCTTTTAACAAAGTGCCAAGGACAGGTTATTCTACTCGTAAATGTTGTTATATAAGCTTTACAATATGTTAAAACCCCTAAGAGGAATGAAAATAACTTCGATCTAGGTGTCAATCATAATAAGCCTGTTCAGCATGATAATCATGTTTATCCTATAACATTTGACAGTGTATAATATAGTTAAGTTTAACTTTAACATAGCAATTTCAGCTGTTAAATTCTGTAAAATTTACTTTTTATACTACAGGTATATGATCATGTTTTTTTTTAATACCTTACGGTAACAATAAAGTAATTTAAAGATATACAAGTGTTAATTGAGTATGACATCAATTGTATTGCAATTATTTACCCTATTATGTGTCACTTTTGATGCAACACATTCTGCCAGACTTCCAAAGGAAATGCCTACAATTTTGGAAGTTTCATCCTCTAAAATTACCCTGCATATTTTTCCATCGCCACTTTTGAAAGGGGCCACTTTTGTCTTTTCGTTTGTGAAGGAAAGTTTGGCCTTGATCCTCCAGCTGGAAAATAATTGGCAAATTTATACATTAGTAAATACATGAAATAGTTGAATCTGATTCATTGAGCATCATTCATTTAAAAAAAAAATAATAATTACGCTGAAAAATGAAGCCATGCATGCCCTCTTGCATAGCAATTGTCAGTATTGGTTGATGATATGGTATTTAAAAAAAAGAATAGTAACTGTGCAAAGTTCAGTGTAATCTGTCATGGTAATATTTATCTGTATAAAACATTAAATATTACATTTGTATCAATACATGTATTAAATACTGCATGCATGTAGTTGTGGGTAACATTTAATATCTAACATTTAAAAAATATTTAACCAAGGCTGCACCTCGATTGACAATCATGACAACAATCAATCTAATAAAACTTAGATCTCTGATCCGCTCCAGTTTGATCGCTTTGTGTAGCGATCAAACTGGAGCGGATCAAAGATCTAATTTTAATTAGATTGGACAACAATTTTCTAGAGGATGAAATTTTTCAGTTACATTTATTATTTATTATAGGATCAAACATTCATTTTGCAGAATTTATTGATTTGTAAACTCATGCCTTTGTACTCAAAAACTGAATAAACAAGAGATGTTTGTAAAACACTTATGCCCCCCTCCCCCAAATTGGAATTTTTCCAAGTCCAAAATGCATAACTCTGTCCAAAATGGTGCGATTGCGATTATACCCAAAACAGATCTTGACCTACATATTAATGTGATATATCTGTATACCAAATTTCATTTCGGTATGAGCAACGGTTGCAAAGAAAATGAGCGGAAACTGCAAATAATTGAAATTTTTCTAAGTTCAAGGGGCATAACTCTGTCAAAAATGGTGCGATCGTACCCAAAACAGAACTTGAGCTAGATATTCATGTAATATATCTGTATACCAAATTTCATTTCAGTATGTACAACAGTTGCAAAGAAAATGAACGGAAACTGCAAATAATTGAAATTTTTCAAAGTTCAAGGGGCATAACTCTGTCAAAAATGGTGCGATCGTACCCAAAACAGAACTTGACCTAGATGTTCATGTGATATATCTGTATATTAAATTTCATTTCAGTATGTACAACAGTTGCAAAGAAAATGAACGGAAACTGCAAATGATTGAAATTTTTCTAAGTTCAAGGGGCATAACTCTGTCAAAAATGGTGCGATCGTACCCAAAACAGAACTTGACCTAGATATTAATTCTATATATCTGTATACCAAACTTCATCTCAGTATGTGCAACAGTTGCAAAGAAAATGAACGGAAACTGCAAATAATTGAAATTTTTCTAAGTCCAAGGGGCATAACTCTGTCAAAAATGGTGCGATCATACCCAAAACAGAACTTGACCTAGATATTCATGTGATATATCTGTATACCAAATTTCATTTCAGTATGTGCAATGGTTGCGAAGAAAATGAGCGGAAACGAAGTGGACCGACAGACAGACCGACCGACTGACAGACAGCAGCAAAGCAATATGCCCTCCCTTCTTCGAAGGGGGGCATAAAAGCGAAGCATCATAAAATTTCTTTTTATTATTAAACACTATATGAAACAGTGTAATGTTGACTTCTTGTTCTAGGTTTGCTTATAAATATCGGAAGTAGAGATAAGTCGTAATATGGTGGGACCTATGGAGTAAACAGTATCATGTCATACATTTTGACAAACTGAAAGCATGAAAATGCGAAAACAAGGAAAATTTATAATCATAATTATGACAAACAATACATGTACTGTGCAGTATACAGGGAAATGTTCACCTTTGTTATACCATATGATGGTGTATATACATGTAGCAATTTTTTTCTACCCAGAGGGAATTTTAAAGGCCATTAGGGTCCTGTAGTACCAGGCAGCTCAATTGAGAAAAAAAGCTCAAAGTAGAAGAAACTTATTAAGAAGAATTTTTTGTCATTTAAACAAAAGTAACATATCTTGCACATGTTGTGTTTAATTTATGAATATCATGACATTTTTAAATCCTGCTAATTTGTGAAAATTGTGAAATTCGTGTACCGGGTAAATTTGAAGAGAGAAAAAGCGTTGATCTAATCACCGAAATGCCCTTAGGAATCACTGAAATGCCCCTACTAATCACCGAAATGCCCCTAGAAATCACCGAAATGCTCCTAGGAATCACTGAAATGCTCCTAGGAATAACCAAAGTGCCCCTAGGAATCACTAGGAATTGTTGTCACTACACTACAGTAAATTCACAAATACTCTTGTTTCAAAAAGACAGCATAAAAGATCGATCGTCTCCTCACATGACATATGCTTTTATACTGATTTCTTTGTGTTTGAGTACGTATCATGCTTGGGTGAATTTACTCACAAAAACTCAGAATTCAGCTCTCATTATTTAATTTTCTAAGAATTTTTTTGAATTTTAATTACCGTACATAAAATACCTTGATAAAGGTATTTGTAATACCCTGATAAAGCTATATAGCTTTATCTCATACGTGTTGGTGATACAGGCCGTTGGATAAACTTATGCCTTATCAACGGGTAGATGCTTTATCAATAGCACTTCCGGTTTTGACACGAACCCTCGCTTCAAGATTTTATTTTATTGAAACTTTTATTTGTGAAAATTGTTGCACTTATAAAATGAATGATAAAGGGTAGCAATATCGTTAAAAGCAAGATGTCAAAGAAGTGTCTTATTTTATCAAGGAACCCGTGGGCTATTTGAAGACAGATGTTACCCCCCCCCCCCCCCCTCTTAGATCGTTTTCGGAGAAAGTAAAGCCTACATGTACCAGTTAAGTTGTTGTTATAAGACTCCTTTGACATCTTTAACAATGCTTTCTTATATTATACTATTATATTATATGCCTACCTAGTAATGTAGGTGTAACTTACCATGGCTCAGCAAACAATCTAGACAAAGTCTAGGCCCCTAGCCTTGCCTAGCACGATTTGTACTGCCATCGTAAAAAGAGTTGATTTTCACGATCCCCATAGTCCTAACAACTTTCAGTCAGAAGTTCGTTTGATGTAAAGCTCCAGCAATTTTCACATGATGTTTTCAAAGACACAGATAGCAAATATTCTAAATTTTGAACTCGATCTACTTTCTCTCGACGCATGTAAACATCAACGGTGCTACGTCATCAAGTTATACGTCATCAATTTGATTTTTGGCAGTCATTCATGTAGTTTCGCAGGGGAAGTATAAGTTTTATGTTAAAACGAAAGTCGTATGAGATAAACAGAACATCTATAATTGTGTGATTTGATATTGGCTTTATCCAACTCGTTGAAATGGTGTACATGCACTCGACAAGCCTCGCGAATATATACACCATTTCAACTCGTTGGATAAAGCCAATATCAAATCACACAATATAGATATCCTCTATTTATCAAGCTATATACCTTTATCGGGGTATTGTGCTGAACCTGTTCGTATCTTGTATATTAGCGAGCGCAGTGAGCGTCACGAAGCGACGCTCGTCACTGCAAGCTCTTAAAGCAACCCCTGTGCGAAGAGAAAATTCGAACTACTGCTCATTCGTTTGATAAAAATTTTTGACGCAGCAATTTGGACCCACAATGCACCACTTGTTAAAGCTTTGTTAAAACTTACGTTATTGCGAAAATAGCTGCAAAAATTCAACCAAAAGTAAACTAGCCCCGATTTAATGGATAATGGATAAAAATTGAAGATAAATAGAAAACGAAACATTCTTCATTTATTTTCAGCACTGTTCAGGGTTCTTTTCGAAATGTAACTTGCATTCGACGTCATGTGACGTCATACATGTAGTCTAGAAGCACCAAATGTCACGTGCAATTTGACGACCCGATCTAAATTAAAACAAAATAAACATCTGCGCTCGCCATAACAGTAGCACCGTAAACATATTATAAATTAAGTTTAAAGTTATTTCTTTTGGCCTTGATTGATTTTTGACTTACTTGCTGGTGATCTTTAGATTCAGCTCTCAATATGTTTCAGTGGAAAATTGTCAGTCTTTGCCATGAATACAAAATATTACTGTCAAAATTGCAATATAAACACTGACAGACCCCTCTCTGATAAAATCAAAGGAACTCTCGAGCTTTCCGATTTGATTTCCGCGGGAAGATATATGTATTTACGAAGCAGGACATCTATTCACAAAAAATCGTAAGTTTACGA